CAATAAAATTATTAAAAAAAAAAAAAAAAAAAAGCCCCTCCGACAAAATTGTATTAGAAGAACTTTTTAGTACGAACAGGGTACATACTGTGGATCTCATAATCAAAAAGTTCCCGTCGAAAAATATTAGTTCTTTCTTTTATTTTACGTTAGGAATCGTATAACATCACTTGATGAACAAAAGCCTTCCCACAATAAATGTAAATAAATATAGCTCATTCCAGTCAAAAAATGGCCATTTAGGTTAGAAAATGTCTTAAGATCATGTGTAGCAGCTTTTTCACCAAAAGTTGATATTGAATAAAAATACACAACAATAAGACTGACGACGGTTTTTATTCTGTATTCATATTTCAATTACCAATCATACAATCTTAATATGTGTATATGTTGAAGACAATTCACTAAAAAAATAAAGAAATATTCTACTTAATGTCTAATTAATACTTAAAAATGAAGGTTAAAACAATACCACTATCGTTAATTATAATAATTTCGTTTAAGACAGTAAATAAAAGACTTACAATTAATGGTGCTATTTCTCTTTTTCGTTTAGAGATGTTTACTGCTACAAGTTTTTTCTTATTCTCCTCAATTTTCCCATGGAAACAATATTATATATTTACAGCTAGCAGTCGTGGCACTACTATATGTTATTGATACCTAAATTGAATATGTCAAGTTTTGAAATATATTTTCCTCTTGAGTAGACTAACAGACAACCAAAAATAACCTTACTCATCACAAAAACTAAATCTACCAATTTGTCTTAGTACCAAGACATAAATATTCAATAAGGTGACAACATCATATAGACTTATATTGTAATTTAGGTAGTATAAGTGTCGTCGGGATGAACTGACTGACTCTTCTTGAAGAGTGTTTATTTGAAACTAGCTTTATAAATAATACTTGGATACCTCAACATGCTGATGAAGATCAGAATCAATCTGTATGTACCACTAGTGTAAATCAACATGCTGATGAAGATCAGAATAAATCTGTATGTACCACTAGTGTAAATCAACATGCTAATGAAGATCAGAATCAATCTGTATGTACCACTAGTGTAAATCAACAAGCTAATGAAGATCAGAATCAATCTGTATGTACCACTGGTGTAAATCAACAAGCTAACAAAGATCAGAATAAATCTGTATGTACCACTAGTGTAAATCAACATGCTGATGAAGATCAGAATCAATCTGTATGTACCACTAGTGTAAATCAACATGCTGATGAAGATCAGAA